TTTGCATTTTTTTAAAGTTTGCATTTTCACCTAAACTTCTATTGATATTTGGAAGAGTGACTACAAGATTCCTAGTTAATATTGAAGCAGTCCTTATCAAAGGGTGCAGAAAGCCTTAAACAAAGAAACACCTACATGACTTGAGTGTATCTAGTGGAAAATTGCCCATAGATCTGCAGAATCTTTAAGAGGTATTTGAGATCTGCAATTGAGGGAAGGAAAACTGACTGTTTAGGTTCTGTCAGTGGAGTCTATTAGGGCATCTGCTTCATGCTGTTGATTGTATTTGGGAATGACCTGTCATTAACAACCATACAGAGCCTCTGGAATACACAAAGATAGGCAGCTGTATGCATGCACATGAACAGCAGCAATAGGAAACCAGCCACCAGTGGCAAATTTATCATTCCTTATTTTTTGTTGCTTTAAATAAAACTAAACAAGCTTCTCTCCCAGGCTTGCTCCAGGGATCCTGCACCCCAATTACACTGCTACTCCAAGAAAGAAGTTATTATTGTGACTCCAACTTCGTTGTGCATAGACCTTTTCCTAGGTCAGAACCAAGAGATTTAATTTTTAACTCCGTTAACAGTAGGACAAGAAAAACACACAAAGGAATCCTTTCCTTCTGGAAAGCCAGCATAACCAAATCAATTCAATCTTATCATGAAATCCTCCCCTCTACCTCACACGAATGACTTGCAGAGCAGGATTTGCTCTTTGCCTTTCTTTGCACAAAGATATATTTGTGTGTGAAAAATCTTAACAAGGATAAAGAGAATTTAAATCAGTCCATATGGGAAACATGCCAACTAGAGGCCTGTCAACAGGGTTCTATCTCTGCCTTTACGAGGATTTGAATGGAAGATAAAAGTATTTACCCTTTTGGCAAAGAAAGCCCACAATGCGTCTCCCATTCCTCAGGAACACTTGGAAATACCAAGCTCGGTGAATAATGGAAGGCAGAAACTTCTGGCAGTCTTATCTCTAGTTTATTTCAAAAAGGCAGAGAAGCAGCAAGTATATCTCTGCAATTATGATGATCCTCCAGCACAGAAGGCAAAGAAAACCTTGCTGTACGCTCCCTTCCTTGTGGGCATGCTGAATTACTCTGTGTCAGCCTCTAGTTAGCCCAGCTTCAGGCTTCCAGATAAATCCCTGAGAAGCGCTGAACAAGCTCCAAGGGCACAACAGGAGGGTCCTCAGGAGAAGATACAGCACCGCTGGCATAGCTGTATCTGCCCCTGGACCAGAGAGGGAGAAACCATTCTTTTCAGGTAACAAAGGGAAAACAACCTCAGTTTTTCCTTTTAAGTAGTTACTCAGGAGCTTTCATAGTTTGACTAGGAAAAAAAAATCATCTATAGACTAAGAAAACTTCTTTCAACTTTGTTTTTTTCCTCTCTCCTCAAAGTCCAGGGGTTAATCCAAAGCTTGGGCTTCTATATCAGAAACTCATATTCTGATTCTCCATGTTTACACAGTGAGAGTTTTTCCACAAAATGAATTGCTAAGTATTTAGACAAGAGTCAGTAAGAATTCAGAGTGACTACATAACTACTTCTGGCACCAAAACTAGATTTTTACAGTATTTGTTTGCTCTGCAACATTTACAAGAATTACTTGCTCAAATGTTCACAGAAGCTCCTCACATGCTACCTAAGGCTAACCACAACTTCATATTTATCCAAGAGTTCATATTTATAAAAGATAATGCTTGGTACGTACCTCTGTCTTCCACAGGTCATGCAATCAATTTCATTCCTCTTCAAGTACTTCCAATAGCTTTTAAGTATGTTGGATATTTTCCTTTTTCCTGCGCTTGGCACAGCTGTGAATGTTTTCTAATTTCAGCTTCACTTCATAGACAGTCCCTCCAGATCCCCAATCACTTCTTACTCAGAGTTCCTACCTAAACTGAGCCTCTTCAAAGCACAGATAAATGGTTCATGCTAGAATGTCATCACATACAGCTTACTCTCTTTGTCATCTCAATTTTTGGGGGGTTGCAATCATAGAATGCACTTCATTTTCTGGACCGTGGTGGGATTGCAAAGAGATGCTACCTTTTGGTAGCTATCCTCTCAATATTTATGCAGAATAACAACAAAAAAAAACAAACAACAAACTTTAGTTTTGGTTTCCTACAGATGGGTCAGCACACAACACTACATTCATCCCTGACACCAGTGTTTAATTTCACTCTTCCTCCCGAAAGGCTTGTCCCACCTCTGCTGTCTCTGTAACATTAAATTGAAAGACACAATATTCCTGTTCTTTACTGCTTGATGTAGACATCTGTGCAGCATTAGAAATCAAAACTATAAAGCATTTTTATATCATTACAAGCACATAAACAATCATGTCATCGACTTTGGGAAGTACAGAACTGTTTCAAACTGCAAACATGTCTGCTGAAGGTATCTTGAGAATACGGTTTTTATTTAACTGTTTGAGTTTCAACCATAAAAACTGGCAGGTTGTTCTAGCCTGATCCTGCTTTATGGCACCAAGATTAATCCTTCACCTCAGCTCTCTGATGTGCAGAGGCTTGAGAGGCTCTCACAGAAGTGTGCTTCAGAATTACCCCATAAGCGTCCACCTGATGAACAAACACTGGCAGTGGTTCTTACACAGAAGCATGAAGCCAAACACATATCAGTACTGGTGTTTTCTTTTATCCAGAGGGACAGGTCTTGCTCCTTTTTCTCCCCTCATATCTTATTAAACCATCTTCAGATTTTCCTTTAGGTTGGATGTGAGATGTTTTGACTAAATTTAATCTTCAGACACTCCCTATCCTACTTCAGTTATATAAACACCCTCCAGCCCAACCCTCATAACATCGTCACGGTATGAAACTATTTCCTGTCACTTCAACCTGTTGAGATATTTTTGGTTGAAATTGAATGTGCATACCTGTAGCAGGTAGGTGAGGCACCAGTGAGAATGTGGGTGGGGGCAGACCTTTGCTTTTCTTGTGCCAAGGACTTCTACAGTTTGTCATGCCACCCAAAGGGAGGTGGCCAACTGTCTAGGAGTGACTCAAGGAGTGACTCTACATTCCTTTTATAGGGAGTAAACTACTACTACTGTCCTGCACTACTCTTGCCAGTTGAGGACCTTTGATCCCAAGAAGGGGCACGACAGATCATCCTTGCTGATGCAGTCTTCCACCCAACAAATGAGCAGAGGCTAAAGGCTCCACCAGTCAATCAAGCATCAGCAATTTCCAGACAGAATGGCCCTGTTCCACCTCTTCCAGCAGTAAAATTGCCTTTCACATCACTTTACAAAGTTGACTCTGTATGCCACTTAAGTTACATTTGCTAGGATAGCATTGACAGGCTTATAATCAAGAGACCCAGAGACTTAGAGAGGTATAATCTTCATTTGTTGATAGCAGGTCCAATCCTGTCTAGTTTGTGAATCACTGCATTCAACAATCTGCAAACCAGAAGAGCAGTTGAGAGCTCCCTTGCTCCACAGCATTTGCATCTCATCTCTTATGCTCACTCAAATTCCTCTATTTTCTCATCTCTGGTATATCACAGAACGGCCAGGGTTGGAAGGGACCTCAAGGATCAGGAATCCCCCCCGCCACATGCAGGGCCACCAACATCCCCATTTAATACTAGACCAGGCTGCCCAGGGCCCCATCCAACCTGGCTTTGAACACCTCCAGGGACGGGGCATCCACAACCTCTCTGGGCAGCCTGTTCCAGTACCTCACCACTCTCTCTGTAAAGAACTTCCCCCTGACATCCAATCTAAATCTTCTCTCCCTCAACTTAAAACCATTTCCCCTTGTCCTGCTGTTATCTACCCTTTCAAAGAGTTGATTCCCCTCCTGTTTGTAGGATCCCTTTGGGTATTGAAAGGCTGCAATGAGGTCACCCCACAGCCTTCTTTTCTCCAGGCTGAACAAGCCCAGCTCCTTCAGCCTGTCCTCACAGGGGAGGTGCTCCAGTCCCCTGATCATCTTTGTGGCTCTCCTCTGGACACTCTCCAACAGCTGTCTTTCTTGTACTTTCTTATCCTATAGCTATTTCCTCTTTCCTATGGGAATGACTACTAAAGGAACATGCAGAATTAACACTTTGTCATTTCGCCTCTCTGCACCTAAATCAATAGAAGATTTGCACACTCTTCCTCCACTGTAAGAATGTTTTCAGCTGTCAACAGACCTGAGTTCTGTAGTGTTATGTATCTGCCATTGAGCCTACGCTGCTTTAGAATTATCATACTTGAAAGTGAATATTTGGAAAATTTGAGTAAACTACTAGAAAAAGGACAAAAGACACAGACACTTCTCATAACAGTGAGTACATCTCTCCCTCATGAAGAGAAAAGACAACATAAAACATGTTGCCTCTATTTCAAAATAGCTTAGTCAAACCCCACCTCTTCTAGAATGTCTTGCCTCAAAAGTATAAGAACATTCTGACCAGCATAAATGTATATACAAGATACATGTTGATACTATGAAATACTAATTTTGCCATTTTTTAGTATTCAGTAGTTTTTGATTTCCATTTACACCTTGGACAACGAACTTTTGAACACTGTCTTTCATGAGCAGAAAGTCCAAGTTTTTTGTTTAATCTGATGGGCACTAAATTTCTGTGTTGAATGATCATGAAGCAGCTTCTCACCTATCTCTGGCCCAAGAAAAGTGGCAAGTGCAAAAAAACTTATTGCCAATGGGAACTAGCATTAACCTTCTAGCCTGTAGTGAAGAGAAGTACACTTCTTCCATTTTTGCAAGTCTGTAAGATTCTGAACTTGGTACAAGACAGAAAAAACTGCCAGAGGAATAAACAGGGCGATGCAAAAGAACCTCTTCAAAACCTGTTTCTCTGTCAACCAGATCAAGGGCTGCTTTTCTATGTAAATACTACCCTCTTGTGTTAGTTTGTAAGTACTACAAGAATCAATCACAAAACCAAAGAAAACCAACCAAAAAAAAAAAACAAAAACCCAAACACCAAAGGCAGAACTTCCCTTGATCTTACCAATCGTTACATACTCTCAACTGAATTCCAGGCAGTGAACAGTCCAACCAGCCGGAACAGGCTCTCTCTGTTGGACCACTCTTTACCTGACCCACTTAAGGTATTTATGTCACATCTGAATCACTAGTAAGAATGATGTAAGGAGAAAACCTTCTGGTAGAGCTGATATTCCAAATAAGCAAAACAGGTCAGTGACAATACAAATAAAACCAGTCTGCTTTAAAATTAAGCTATATTTGGAGTTCTCTGAGTCACATGTCCTTTCAGTAAGGCAAAATCATCATGGATGTGAAGTGGAAACTTGGTTACTTCTTTAAACTTTTTCATCTTTTCCTTCTGGCAGTCCAATTTGACCCCAGAAGTATTCAATGAGTTTGGATACTGAGACAGAGGCTGCAGCAGTGGGAAAGCTGTGCCCATTTCTTTGGGGATGAGTTGGGCCAGACCACACAAACTTCCATTTCCTAAGGGGACAACTTGGCTTCACTGAAAGACTGACACCATTATACCACAATGACCAAGCTCAGTCTGTAAATGGTGAAGCAGAAGAGAGGAAGACCTTTCAGGCCTTTTCCAGACAGACTGCCCAATGCAACATTAAGCAGTTCTGAAAAAAAAATCCACTGGAGATGGTTGTGAAGACTATTTTTGCCAAGCTCATGTAGCCATAAACAGGAAAGTAAAAGTTCGTCCAAACACTGAGCTAGAAGGCTTTTCGTTTCTTCTTTTTCCCACCTGCCACCTTCTTCCTGACACCAAGAGCTTCTTCTGTATCATCATCATCACCATTCCGAGATCGCTTCTTCTCTCCCTGTTCCCTCAGCTCCTGCAACACAATCAAGAGATTGAGAGTTAGGACAGACAAGGAAATTCAGACTACCACAGAGAGTACACGAGGATGAAACGTCACCACTCACCATTCGAGCAAACCTCTGGGCCTCAGCCACACGCTCTGTTAGCATCATAACTTCCTCCTCTTGCATGGGGAACGCTGGCAGCTTCTTGCCAATCAGATGTTCAATGCGCTGAAACAGCTCTACGTCATATCTGAAAAAAGATGCTAGCCTGAATCAGCCCAACTGGGATGCCTTCAGCTACCTCTATCCACAGACACTGCCCCTAATTGCACCGATAGATATATTGTTGGCTTGTGCTAATGCAGAGCAACTCTTACATACATCCCAATAATGTCATCCTTCAGGGTGGCTTTGCTGATTTACCTCAAAAGTATCTGGGCAAAGACTTCATTCAGCAGTTATAAAAATACATAAACCTATTTAACCTGTATCATTTATTACAAAAAATGTATATATATTATGCAGTGAAGTTATAAACAAATAGTTCCAATAATTACATAGCTGCTTCTAGAATTTACCTTAGATCTTTCTCTTTCCCCTCCCTGAACTTTGAATGCTCTCCCCTTTCACTAAAGAAATCCAACTGGTCCCTCAAAATGAAATACAGTATTTTCCCCTCATCGAGGATGAGGCCAATGCATTCTGCTTTGAAAGACAACTGGGAAGAATAAGTTTGTGACATTTTAACACTTACTGTGTGACAAATGTGATTGATTTGCCAGATCTTCCGGCTCGAGCTGTTCTTCCAACACGATGAATGTAATCCTGAAAGCAATTTTCTTGATAAGTGATAGGACATACACACCACACACAGAAAAGAGTTGGGGAAGATGCACTATTACGATTGTTTCTTTCTTTATGGGGAGAAATGAGTCAGGATTTGATACGCTAACTGTATGCAATATTAAAGGTTTGAAAAGACACTGGCTTGTGGAAGCACGTATTTGGTTTTAACCTTTGATTGCTTTCTAAAAGAAAAGACCACTACTCAAGACCGTAGACAAAAGCTGCGAGACATGGATGCTAATGGAACCATCACTTCCTCAGAAAGCTAATACTTAAAATAAAATCAAGCCAATGCTTTTGCCCTCATTCTCAGGATTTAGTTTTCTACCTAGCCTGTCTTGGACATAGGCAAGCACAATGAAAGGGAAGATGAATGAGAACAGTTTGGAAACTTCTCCTGAGAGCTTTCCATTTATATGATTCTGGGCTGTTTTCCAGGTTTTATACTGCATTATGGAAGTCAAAACACTCCATGCTACAGGCAGTATCTGTGGGTGTCTAAATCATGAGAACACTCAAGACATGTTCTGTGACACAGCGAGCTGAGAGGGAGTTGCACAAAAACTGTAATGATGTCATTCATGTGGCTGCTCTCCAACTTTAACTTTTTCCTTTCCATAATGACAAAATCAATTTCTTCAAGGATGAACCACCTTTTTTTTTTTGTTTGTTTGCAGTGCCTGGTACCTTCAATCTATACAGGAAATAGCATATCTTGAGCCGTTTGTCAGTAGTGTGCTTTCTGAAACCAAGCTCATGAACAAAGCCACATCCACAAGATAATACTATGCTTTCTACAAGGAAGAAAGTTAGTAACTCACATTTTTCAGCTTGCTATACATCTGTGATATGGAAGTGAAACATATCAAAGATATCATTCTTGATCAATTGAGCATGTGGGAAAATTTTATATTTTAAACACAGTTTAAGCCTGGATTGCAGGAACACACATGCCTACTTGAAGCCTGTAACATGTTAAAGTTTTATTTCTGAAAAGTCTGTAAACTGTTCAATACGGTATTACAAAACACTCTTGAGCAGAAATACCAAGACAAAGAATATCCCTCATTTCTCCTCTTCTCTTATGGATTCAGTTTTGCAACCCAGATCAGGCCACTCAAACTGAGATATCAACTCAGTCTTTGAGGCTGAACAACTTCTCATCTACACAAATGTGAGCTACACACCCCATCAGCAGAACAGAGGAAAGTTGCCTTTCTTCCTTTGCCTAGCTTCAACACTATACTCCCTGGTGATAGAAGACCCTCAGCTGGCACAGATACTAACTTACCTTAGAGTGTGTAGGAATATCAAAGTTTATCACCACATCCACATGTGGGATATCCAGACCTCTGCTTGCAACATCAGTAGCCAGCAGAATAGACCGTGCCTTTGCCTTGAACTTGTTTAAAGAGCCCAAGCGTTTGTTCTGGAAGAGGGGTGGACAGAAAGGAAATGAGAGAATGTTGACTCTGGTTAATATTCTCCTGTTGAAATACTGACAGAGATGAACTGTAGCAGAAACCATTCAAAAAGAAAAATCTCACTTCTCTAATTTCTAATTACACAAATCCACATTAGATTAACATCTATGTATCAGTCCAGTCCACTAGCTGTGAAATGCTTCTGCAAGTTAGCTGTGATGCAGTATGGTTTAGTCCATTTCCCAAGTGACATGTTTCCTGTCTAGTTCATCCTGTGGGATATGCCCATACCTGACTCATCTGCCCATGGAGAGGAATAGCAGTGAACCCAAGATTACAGAGCAGTAGAGCAGTCCTCTGAGTATTGTTACATGTACTACAGAATACCATGAAAGAATTTCCAGCTAGTTCATTCAAAATATAAACCAGGTAGCTGTCCTGTAAAGAGAGGAGGACAAAAGAGAAATTAATAAAGAAAATAATCAAATATGCTACCTTGAAGAGTAATAACTATAAAGCCAGAGAAAATATTCTGCAGATGTGGGAATAGTAAGACTAGACATAGAATAGGAAAGAAACAGAAGAAGCAGTGATACCTTGAATTTGGATGGGATGAAAATGTAGTACTGCTGTAGCTTTTCAACTGTCTGATATTTGGAAGAAACAGCACATTTAACAGGATTCTTCAGAGCAGCACGCTGCAGTTTTTGAACCTAGGAAGATCAAAGTAAATCAATACTACAAGCTTCTGACAAAATCTTTGTCCTTGTATCTTCATCAGACAGTCTAGTTGACAGCACAGCCTGATGAAAGAATAATTAAAGGAAAGTACTCGCCTCTCACCTGCTTGGTCATGGTGGCAGAAAACAGGAACGTCTTTCTGTCTCGAGGAATCACTTTCAGTATCTTATCCACCTGCAGAAGGAAAACGGAAAGAGAAATGCTGGGTACAACAGCAGTCAAGACATTAGTCTTCCAAATATAACAGCTGTCCAAGAGAAGAGTGCTGCATGCATGCAACTTCGGCTCACAGAAGGCACAAATTTCCCCTTTCTCACGGGAAGTTTTGGGCTGATACTTTGTTGATAGTTAAGTAGCACAGACTCCAGAAGTCAAACAGCAGTACAAAAAACAGGCAATATTCCTGCAGCAGGGTGTACATGATTGACAGTTATTTCAGAACACAATGTCAGGCAATCCAGAGAAACCAGCTGACTTTACAGACAAAATGCCTCCTACTTGCTAGCTAGTACTCTGCAGAACTCTGCTAGGTTTAGCTCTCACCACAGGCTTCCATATAATTATGAGATCTTAGTTACAAATTGCTGCTAACTTCCTCAGAACTGTTTAATACAGCGTTTTCTACACGACTGTATGTAAGGATTTAAAGGGACTTGTATGGCATTCCAAAAACCTCCTTCAGCACATTCCTACCTCTGTCTCAAAATCCATGTTGAGGATCCGGTCAGCTTCATCCATCACTAGGAACTTCAGAGCTCGTAAATTGAAGCCCTTGGTGTTCTCGAGGTGATCCACTAGACGGCCAGGAGTTGCTACAAGGCAGTCAGTGAGAACCAGTTAAGAACTGAAAACAAATATCCAAAGAAGTAAGAGTCCTCAGTTACAGAAATGAATTATTCACCAAACGCGAGTATAAGTAGGTTGCTTTGTGATGAGCACTATTTCATCCTTGAACTGTTTTGAAATAAGACTAGGCTCCATGAAGAATGCCCATCTTCCCCACTCCCATGAAAAAAGCAAGAGAGACAGCAGATGAGATCCACTAAGAATGAGACCAGGGTTTTGAATACTTCAGGAGACTTAAAGGCAGTCCAGCAGGAATGCTTTGGAATGAGCTCGTAGCAGCAAGGCTACTGGGGCCTATTTTAGAAACATTAACATCTCAAGATGAAACAAATGAAGGATGTATTCCTGCTACCTCAAAGACAGAAAAGCTTCTGTCACTCTTTGGATGACTGTAATCTAATTATATTCATACCCCATACCTCGTGTATATTGACTTACCAATTATAATATGTGGTTTCTTGGCTAAGGCCAGAGACTGAGACATTGAGTCAATTCCACCGACAATAACCGCTGCAGAACAAACAGAGCAAGTGAATACCTCTGTTTATTACCGGCCAACCTCTAGAGTATAATGTGTTTCTTCTTACTCCCTGCCACCCACAACTCTATAGAAATGAAAAGCTTGCTTTCTTTATGAGAATTTACTCTGTTTTAGTATATGCCTGACCTTTCCAGGCCTCTTAAGCCACACACTGAAGCCCTTACCAGCCTCAATTATTTTGTCACAGTTGAAGAGCTAGAGGCAGGGTCTACTCAGCCTAACTCAGCTGCAGAATCTGAGAATTCTTAAAATATCCCAAAAGCTTCTATGTCAGTAGCAAGTATTAAAAAAATATAAAAAATTTAAAAAAATAGACTGTTTGTGGGAAAGATTAAACTACACCATATATAGCAGAGCTCTATGCAACGTAACACCAATACAATCTTACTGCTGGGGAGATTCTCCGCCACTTCCATCTTTAGCAGTTTGGACATTAAATGCTGAAGATCTGCAGAGTGTTCCATAAGGAAAGACCATACAGTCAACAGTAGTTTCTCTCCTACAGCTGATATCAGCATCACAAAGCTCTTACACCTTGTATTCAACCCTCCATACAAACACTGCCTACTTTTTCCTTTGCACTCTGGGAGCTGATCTTCAAGCCTTCAAACCAAAAGCATTCCAGCATCACAAGGCTACTTACCACTATGGACACCAATTGAGGACCCAAGAGCTTCAAACTGCTCTGAGATTTGGAAGGCCAGCTCTCTTGTTGGTGTAAGGACAAGAGCAAATAAACGCTGAGGTGCATCCAGCAGTGCTTGAAGAATTGGCAAAGCAAATGCTCCTGTTTTCCCAGAGCCGGTTTCTGCCAGTCCAATAATATCTCTGCCTACAGGGAGTAGCAAGGAGAGCAAAAAGTGTTACAAATCTGTATTAAATACAGTGGATTTCAAAGAATTGTGCAAAAAAAGCATAGACGTTCACTAAGAATGAAAAGAACAGCCTTAGCAATAAATCCCTTCCCTCACTCCCCCAAAAAGGGCAAGAAACAAAAAAGGTGAAGGAAAATAGAAAGAGATAACAGTGAATTTCAAAACATCTCTAGAGGATTCTAAAGTGTAACTTCTTTTGTACATTATAAGTTACAGTCCTAATTCCTTTCAGTTATGTTTCCAGGTAACATAACAGTGTTCTTATATCTCAAAAGCCACAATGTATTTCATGCTGTAGATTAAAACAGTAATTTAAATCTGCTTTCATCCAGCAAAGATTAGGATGGTAAGTGCCCTACCCCAGAAAAGCAACACTGTAGAATTCACCTGTAGGATTCATTCTCACTTGCTAAATTCCAACAGCTGAGAACATGCTGCCAATAGGCTGTAACCCAAAGAAAACTCAGGAATGTTATCTTTTCTTTTGCTTTTGAAGAGAATTTTCTGTACGGATTAAAAGAGTCTGACAACAGTTAAGTGCCAGGACAGAGCAGGCAATGAAAAGTCATTTCCATTTTAAAACCAGTGCCACTACATCGTGCTTCTGTTCCAACTTCATGATGGATTCTTTCTGAATAAGAGATTTCTAGAGGTAGAAATATTTACTGAATTTAGTAAGGTATTTTCCAGTCTTCCAGGTCGTATACAGAAAGACACTGTGGCTCTATTATTTCTCTCTCCAAGAATCTGATTTCATGGCATCTCCAATTTCAGAGGCAAATTGTAGATCTCTAACAGAAGAGGCACAGCCTCAGGCGTGCCAGAAGTGTCCAGCATACCCCTGCATAGTTCAGAAAGGCCATGGGCAATGCTGACTAGTAGCTCAAAAGACTGGGAACAGTTATATTTACCATGGAGTGCCAAAACTATCCAACAGTAGTGAACAGACAAGAACCTATGCACTAATGTGAAAGCTTGAAATTGAAGGCAATGTTACAAGAGAAATTAACATTCCAGCTCCATCAGAGAAGGACACAAGAATGAACATCAAAATTACTTCTATATACAGAACTTCCATGAGGAAGATGGGAAAATGCTCTCAGCCCTGCCACTTCATAGAACCATTAAGGCTGAAAAGACCACTAAGATCACCTAGTCCAACCATCATCCCATCCCCACCATGCCCACTAATAGTCCATGTACTTCAGTACCACATCCATGCATTTCTTGAACACCTCCAGAGACAGTGACTCCATCACTTACCTGGGCAGCCTGCTCCCCACTCTTTCTGAGAAAGAATTTTTCCTAATATCCAACCTGAACCTCCACTGGCACAACATAAGGCCATAAGGTCTTGGCCTATCTTTGTTATCTGGGAGAAAAGACCAACTCCCAGCTCACCACAACCTCCTTTCAGGTCACTGCTGAGAGTACTAAGGTCTCAGTCTTCTCCAAGCCTCCTCCAGACAAACAATCCTAGTTCCTCAGCCACTCCTTACAAGACTTGCACTCCATACCCTTCCATAGCTTCGTTGCTCTTCTCTGAACATGCTCCAGGGCCTCCATGTCTTTCTTGTAGTGAGGAGCCCAAAACAGAACACAGCACTTGAGGTGTGGGCTCACCAGTGCTGAGTACAGAGGGACGGTCACCTCCCTACTCCTGCTGGCTGCACTACTGCTGATACAAGCCAGGATGCCATTGGCCTTCTTGCCCACCTGAGCACACCGCTGGTTCAGCAGCAGCCAGCTGTCAGCTAACACTTCCAGGCCGTTTTTATTTGCTCAGAAAAATGAATTCACACAGAGCTCCTGGGGAAGTCATCCCCACACTGTGGATGGGAAACACACCGCTTACCCTGCAGAGCCACAGGAATAGCTTCCACTTGAATCTTCGTAGGTACCTTCCATCCCAGCTGGTCACAAGCTTCACACAGGACATCCGTCACTCCCTGAGTATCATCGAAAAGAGTGGGAAACAAAGCATCAGTCAGCAATCAACGAAGTCACCAATCAAATACATTCTGCCACACAGTCGAGCTTGTCTCCGTCACAGCCAAACCCCAAACCCGGGGCCGCGCAGCCCCGCAGCGACATCCGCGCACGTGGCCGCCCCACCACCGGGGCTGGCGGCTTCGCCAAGCACAGGGCAGCTCCCCAAGGCTCCCCGCCGCAGGCCTCATCTGCCGAGGTGAGGGCAGGCGGACGCTTCTCGAGAGCGGCGCGGACCGCAGCGAGCCCCAACTCCTCCTCACCAGGTCCTTGAAGCTCCGCGCCTCTTCCACCACCGGCACCTCCTCAGCTTCCAGCCCGGCCGCCTTCCCCGGCTCCCCTCCCGCCGCCATGTTGGACCGTCCCTCCGGCGCGGCGCAGGGCACGCCGGGAGCTGTAGTCTCCCAGGGGCCGCAGCGGAGAGGCGGGGCGGGGCGCGGAGTCCCAGCCGGCGGCCATTGTGTGGCGGTCCGTCACAGCGCTGCGATGCCGCCGCGTGGCGGTACTTGCGGCCGGAGCTCTGGCAGCGCGAGTCGTGCCTGAAGTAATAAACTGATTAGGTTTTTTCTTTGGCTGTAGCCCAGGTTACGGGTGGCTTTCTGGGCTGTGAGGTCACGCTGCTGGCTCATATCCAGCTGCCATCCACCAGTTCCCCCGAGTTCTTTTATGCAGGGCTGTGCTCAGTCCTTACGTCCCCCAGCCTGCACTGGTAGTGGGGGTTGCCACGACCCAGGTGCAGACCTTTGGACGTCATGAGGTCCACCTGTGTCCACCGCTCAGCCTGAGAGTCCATGTCTCTCTGGATGGCATCCTGTCCCTCAGACGTGCTGGCCACACCACGCATCTTGGTGTCATCCACCAGCTACCGAGGTGCTGTTGACATCAGTCCCAGCACTGGCCCCTGGGGGACACCACTCATTGCTGATCTCCATCCAGACAGATATTGAGCCATTGACTGCCACTCTCTGGGTACGATCTCGTAACCAGTTCCTCATCCATCAGAGAGTCCACCTGTCAAACCCATATCTTTCCAATTTGGGGAGAAGGATGTTGTGAGGCACCATGTCAAAGATCTTACTGAAGTTCAGACAGACTACGTCAGTGGTTCTTGGTGGAGTTACGCCATGGGTGTCCAGTCTTTCAGAGAGGAATTGTCTTGTGGGCCACATATATGTAGGCTACGCCAAAAGAAATGCCTCCTATTTATTTCCATGGAATTTACAACCAATACTAAGAGCACAATAACACTATTTGATAGAGCAAATTCTCAACTGCAAAACGCTATTTTTCAGGGTAGCCACCACCATTAGATACACATTTTTGCCAGCGATGAGCAAGAGTCTGTATGCCACTCATTAAAACCTGCCCTGCTGGAGGTGACCCACTGTTGCTGATGCCACTGCTGAAATGCACCACCCACCAACTCACTGTACTCACATCCACAGTCTGGTCCCCAGAAACAGTCAGCAAACATCAATGAATGGCACCCATTGGACTGCCATTTTTTCAGCGTGGAGGAATTCAGTGAAACATCTTTTTTTCATATGCACTTCCATGTCAGACACCAACATGTCAAACTGCCTCTCCACTGCCATCTGTCACACGGCAACAAAACATAATGGGATATTGGTGAGAAGGTTCAATCGCTACTGCTATACCACCAACATTTGCCTCTGGTATTATGGGCCAATACAACAAAATAGGAGGCATTACTTTCAGAGCAGATCTCATAACATATGTTGTATAGTTAATGTATATAGGTAACAAAATGATTTTATTCTTTAATATTTTTATTTTAAAAAAAGAAAAGGGCATAAAACCCATGAAACTAGGAGGCTATTTTACCTTTTTTTTTTTTTTTTTTTTGGTCAAACTAGCATATCTATCTAGTTCAATGGAAGTAGATGCAATTCTTAGTGAATTCTCAAGGTGCTCATCAGAGATTTTTGATTAAATTTTACTCTTCTTATACTTAATCCTTGAAAAGAGTTGTTCACAAACATATTTGGCACATACTGCCAAATAGTGATGACATGAATAAGGCATGGATGTGAAGTGAGAGATGTTTTTCTCTGGTAAGAGAGGTCTTACAGTAAGTCTAGTAAAGGGATGCAATCAGATCTTACTTTGAGTGGGCTGATTGCAACTCTAAACATTCCATTTGAAAATTCACAGCTGGTGTATTTATGTCATATGAAAACAGAACTGCAAATATACCACATTTTTATTTCTTATTTACAGTCTATTCTCAGATTCCTTTAGCAAAACAGAAAGCAGGGCTGTATGTTCACAAGACTGTGTTTAGCCAGTGTATCAAAATGCATAAAGTTTGGGCAGCCTGGTCTAGTGGTTGGTGATCCTGCTCGTGTCAGGGGGTTGAAAGTAGATGATTTTTGAGGTCCTTTTCAATCCAGGCCATTCTACGATTCTATGATTCTAGGATTCTGTGATTCTATGATGATTCTATGCTTTGCTACGAATTGAGTTAGCACTGTGCTGTGCCCTCCCTGTGTCCCAGTTTCAGCTCAAACAGTGCTGATCACATACTGATGTTTGGTCATTGCTGGCCACAGGTTGGACATGCCTGAGTTATGTCATCAAAGAAGGCCACTAAGTTGATCAAGTTGACGCTCTTGATGAAGCCATGCTGGTTATCCTGTATCAGCTCTTTTTTCCATATGCTTAGCTTAGCTTCCAGGAGGATCTTCTCCATGACCTTCCCCAGCACTGAGATGAGGCTAACAGGTGAGTAGTTCCCTAAATTGTACTTTCTATCCTTCTTAAAAGTGGGTGTGACATTGCCTTCACAACTTCGAAGTGCTGGAAACAACAAAAACGCACTTAACTGAGCAAAAAATGAGGGAATGAGAGTTGAGAATGGAAGCCAGCATTCTTCACCTCTCATGATAGGTGCCATCGCTGACCAAACAGGGAACCTGTGAAAGGTGGAAATGGTGATGAATTTAGTGGCCTTTGACAGAAATATGTCATAACTGTCATTCCTGACCTGCCTACTTTCCATCTGGTCTGAGTGTGGCCTCTCTGGTCTGTAGTCCCAACACTGAGTGTAGCAGGGCACTCTCACAGCTAGGTGAATGTCCTTTGCTCTATGGAAAATGAATATTAACATGTCAGAGAGCTTGGGCCTGGAAGAGGCAAAACAGAACTTGTGACAGCATTTCTGAGCAGACCTCCATCTCTCTTGCCACTCGGGAAGCCCAACTGGGTGTGCCCGCAATGGAAATGCTGACGTTCATGAGCATCTGTCACTGGATTCCTAGTGTGCCATTTCCTTTGCTCCCAGAACAATGAGGAAAGTTAGAGGAAATCCGAACAAACTCTCTGCATGACAGGGAAAGGAAAGGAAACCTGGAACAATTCACTGGGCAGCAGTGGAAATGAACTAGTTGCATCCCACTGTGCTCAGGAGCAGTGATTTAAAAGCAAACAAACAAACAAACAAAAAAAACCACTCAGTGTAGATGCTACCTATGACCACACATTTAAAAAAACTATAACAGTTTGAACCATGAGCTTGCTGTTCACCATTAGTGCTAAGGGTTAGGCCTGGCCAGTACATAAGACATGAGCCCTTACTGTGGGATGCCTCAGGAAATGGAGTCAGGGTCAGGGATGTGACAGGAAGTCGCTCACTCTTTGTTGAGCTTACTTCCCAGATACTACAGTAAGTGCTGTTCTGGTGGGGGCAGGGAGACCAGTTCACCATCTATTCTGATACATTTCAGTTGGGTAATTCTATTTTGTTAGTAAATGTGCTTTGAACAAAAGTTTCTGACTGTCCTAAACTCTGAAGAAAATTCCTGTGTGTGATAAAAAATGTATCGCTTCTGAATGATGATTCTCCTTTTGTGCTTCTCAAAACAGGGCACCGTAAGTTACACTGGACTTCAGAATTTTCACTGCAGGGATTTTAGTCTTGGCCTTTGAACAAGCACATTCCTAACCCTACTGCATGTTAAAAGCTCATTCTTCTTTAGGAAGTGCAATGTGGGCGCACACATGCATGGGCAAAATTTAGTACAGATGTAATGGCAATTATTCCCTCTGTACTCAGCACTGGTGAGGTCGCATCTCAGGTATTGTGCTCCGTTTTGGGCCCATCACTACAAAAATGACATTGAGGCCCTTGGGCACGTCCAGAGAAGGATAACAGAGCTGTAAGGGGTCTGGAGCACAAATCTTATAAGGAGAGACTGAGGGGACTGGGATTGTTCAGTCTGGAGAAGAGGTGTTCAGGGGAGGCTTTATTGCTCCCTACAATGACCTGAAAGGAGGTTGTGTAGAGGTGGGGGTCAGCTTCTTCTTCCAGGTAACAAAAAGAGAATGGCCTCAAGTTGTACCAGGAGAGGTTCAGGTTGTATATTAGGAAAAATTTCTTCTCTGAAGGAGTGGTGGTGCATTGGAACAGACTGCCCAGGTAGCTTTGGCGTAACCATCTCTGGAGGTGTTCAAGAAACGTGTAGATGTGGCATTAAGGACATGGTTATTTGGTGTGGCGAGGCTGCTCTGATGGTTGGACAGGATGATCTTAGTGGTCTTTTTCAACCTTAATGATTCTATGATTCTGTGATTCTATTTCATAAGTGATGCATACTAACACAAGATGGACTATGTATATAATAGATCACAGTTGATGATATATAATTCAATCTACTCATGAGGATGCCTAGTGAGAGGCTATTGGCATATCTTCATACCCTGACTCTGTTCAGACTCCTTTACTATAAATAACTTCTATAACTTCTATATACTATGGGAGTTTGCATTAAAATGGCTGTTGTATTACTGCTTCATCATTGGATCATTCTTCCCTGCAGCATTTTCAATAAAAGGAGAATGAGAGTGACAACAAGATAACTGTCAGCCCAGGCTAATGATCAACACACACATTTCTCCAAGCCCAGCTACTGAAGGAAGGGTTCAATCAACACATCTGCAAATTTGAAGAGTAAATAACTGCTATGAAAAAGCTGCTCATGTAAGGCACTTCCCCTAGATGCTGCTATTAATTCTATATTGAAATCAAGCCGTTAAGCAGAAAGGGAATTGAGAACCGTCCAACAAAGCATGGTACCTTAGGTTCAGTCACACTCTCACACGTGCACTGCACAACAACACATATCCTGACCTCAAGTGAAGGATTAACCTAGGAAAAAACAGAACAGAAGCAGGATTTTTTGCTCATGTAGCTGGAATGGAAGTAAAAGTGTCTCTCATTTGTCCTTAGCTGCTGAAACAGTGGTGTGATTGCAGTGCGGGGCTGTGCTAAGCAAAGCAAACCAGCCCTCATGAAGCAATGAGCTATCCACTTCATATTCTTCATTCAGATCAGCTCATTCAGAGCTGTGTTGTTGTTTCTATGTTGTTCCCTGTGTAGAGGTACACAGACAAAAGTGACATTGCCAGAAAATTGAGGAGAAGGTAGGAGAAATAGTCTGTGGTGATGAAAACAGCTTTCTCAGAAGAATGGTGGAATTATAACCATCCTGGTGGAGCTGGCTCACGAGATGTTGGAGCACTAAGAAAAATGTTGCACTAGGCCTGCCTTTGCATGGCATGCAGTACACACCCCAAAAACACACATATGTACTTGCATATATACACCTTGAGGTGTTTGTGTGTCAGAGGCCAGCATGCACAGCAGGATGTGCACTCACACAGACACAAATATATACACTCATACACAAATGATGACATCATTTTTTATTCTCCCTTTCTGAGCACACTCCTAGCTGCTCATGCAGATTTCTTGGCTCCAGTGTCTGAAGCATGAAATCGAGTGGTTGAGGCAAGGACAGGAATTTGATCGCATGCAGGTATGCAGAGAGACACTGACACAAAAGTACTTCATATTCATTTAATTGAACTAGCAGTGTACTTTCCCCTTACAGCAAACAGGCGTGGGCATTACAGACAACTCAGTCACATTTTGAGGGACAAAAGTTTTTGTTTTACACATCAAAACACATGTTGAAGTTGTGAGAGGAAGAGACAGCTTGAGAAGGAATTGAGCATTGTGAGTCGGAATATAGCTCTTCCCAAGAGTTTATTCAGTGCAATAGAATTACAAATCGTTTTTTTCATCATTTTGATTCACAAATCCCAAGCGAAGTTCCCCTCATTATTTGGGTTCTACTCATGGGGGTGGAATTGTCCCTGCATCAAGTTCTCTGGTTGTCTCAAGCTAGATTTTGGGGTTTCTTCCTTGTATCTCTTCCAGGTACTGACTTGATCTCCATCACCACAGCACCTGAGCACTTTGGAATATTTGTCCCAGAAACATTTTCGTGAGGTAGGGAAGTGCTACTGTTCCCATTTTCACATGGAGAACTGAGGCACTGAGGTGCTGAAAATCACAAAGGACATCCTTAGCAGGACAGTCACTCGAAACTGAGTCCAAGTCATTCCTCCTGCTTCCTCAGTGCTCTGACCCCTGAATCATCCTACTTTTCTTCACCCTTGTTGACAATCGGTACCAGTGTATACATATCGCTGATGTGAAGCCTTCCCTGGGAAGCATTGCTAAGCATATGTGTAGCTCTTTGTGCGTGCTGCCTCCTCCCTCCCCAGACAACCGCTGTGGGTCTCACAGGCTGTTTGACTGCACAAAGAGCAGCACTACCACCTCTCAGGTGTGCTATTCTCTCAGCTGGTCTCCAGCTCAGAGCATAACACCAGCATACTCTTCCCTCCCTGCTCCAAAAGGTACACTGACTCTTCTCCCCAGAGAGTCCCCCGAGGCAGGCTCTGGTCCCAGGGTCACTGACCCATCTTTCTCCCTGTTTTGGTTTCTAAGATCTGTCACTGATTAACCACAGTTCACCTGTCTTATAATTACCAGCATTCATCTTTCCCTTTCCTACAGAGACTTACCCTCACAGCCAAAGAACTTGTAACTTGCTCTCGCTTGCCACAGACTTGCTTTGCCTCTAAGAACAGCTGCACTCCCTTGGAGCAGAGACCTCTTTTTAAAAGGAAAACAAAATATTTAAATAAAATATCAAAACTTTAAAATACAATATCAAAACTTTAAAAACATTTCATGTAAATAAATAGAACACAAACGTCACAGTTCTCATCCTGGAGAGGTTCCTTTATAAAGGATAACAGTTTCTGGCTCTTCTGTTTCACCCTGAGATGACTGAGCCATCCACACAGTCTGTCATATCTGGGGCTGCTCCTTTCAGCAGCCTTCCCAGATGTACCTTGGAAATGGGGCTGTACTCTACTGGAATTTGGTGGCTGCTGGCTCTTTGAGGGTATCAAAGCCCCTTCAGCATTCATAGATTCATGAGTTATCCACAAGTCAGCACCAAGACTGCAGGGATTTCATCACTCTGCTGACCTATTTCTTTCTGCTACATGAGGAAGCAGAGTCATGGAGGTGGATGGGGAAACATGGAACTGAGGAATGGCCATCTACACCTGTGTTCTGGCTCCGGGATCTGCTGCCATATACCCAGTAGTCCACATGTCCATCATGACCTCTATCCTGAGCCAGGGAGCTGCTGTGAGGCAGTGGGGTGTGTGTGTGTGTAAACTCTGTCTTGATATCAGGGAGAGGTTTGTGTTCAAATATAAATAAGGCACAAGAGATGTGTGTATCTATGTGGATGAGCACCACCAATATTACAACAGCAACAGGTAGCAGTGCTAATGGTGACAATTACGTAGTGTTTTCAAGCCTGGTTTCATTACAGGGCAATTGCTGTTTCAACTGGATGGTCTTGGGGTCTCAGTGGTGGTTCTAGCACCCAAGCCGAGTTTCCTCATCCGTGGGGAAAGCTCTGTCCTGGTCTCAAGGAGTTCACAGACTTCATCCATTGCTCTGGTGCAGATCTCGAGGTTGGCAGCCAGCTTCTGGATTTTGGCCTTCAGCATGGCCTGGCTCACTTTTGTGACCTCTTTTGTGTATTCTGGCACAAGGAAGCTGTGGGAGCCACAGAAGACCATGAAGCAGACAGAATTATACAGGGAGATGGATGCTCTCTTCTCTGACTGGAGAAGCTTGGGGTCCCCTGGGCCCTGCACACGGCGGAGGAATTCCAGGCAGCCGAGGATTTCCCTCATCTGTTTCCGACAAGTCATTGCAATTTCCTGCACCTTCTTCACCTCCCGGGAATTGCAGAGCACGGCAGAGAGATCGGAGGTGATGCTGACAGCTCCCCCAGCAGTGGCTAAGCCCAAACCCACTGCCGATGCCAGGAGGGAGGCTCCCAGTGTAGCTGGGCTTAGGGACAGTCCCACGATGGCCGTGACTGCTCCCACGGCTGTCAGTGAGCTCCCACTGATGTTGGCAATCAGGGATCTTTTGCGAAGCTTGTTGATTTTGCGAGCTGCCTTGTGAAGGTGAGCAATCTGACCTCGCAGCCTACGTCGCTGATCCAGCAGCGCTATGTGGAAGTGGTGCGTGGGGTCTGGCGTCTGGGGGCGGGCAGCACCATTCCTCTCCATGGCCTCTGTCTAGAAAAAGAAGAAGATGGGTTGGGATTTATATAAAAAGCACAAGACTTGCTCAGCCTTGACCTCCGTCCCAAGGATGGCATCCAGCCAATTTTCTCGCTTCGCCCGACTGCTTGGAAGGTTTGCTGTCTGCACGCATGCACATGCTCACGTACACGTGCACACACACGCACGTACACACACATATGCTTAGTTACTCTGTTCTGACTTTCAGACGGGAATTTTTTGGAGTTTTTTCTCATCCTTGAGAACATTAAAATATCTGTGTAGGAGTTGAACTCAATGATCTTATGGATCCCTTCCAACTCGGGTCATTCTATGATTCTATGATCTTAAGGGCTGGGGTCGGGGGGACTGTTGTTCTTCTGTGATAACATGAAATGTCTCTTCCAATCCAGGGGACATAAATTCCATGAAGGTTAAGTGACTCAGTGCCCAGTGCAGTAATGCTGCCAGAACTATATGGTGGTGTCCTCCCTCTGGGATTCAGAGGTTTTGTAATATTCAAGGGCATATTTCACAGGAAAGTCCAGACTGTGAGGAGATAAAAACCACCCATCCTAGGTTGCTATTTAGGGGTCCTTTCCCAATAAAGGAGAACAGAGGGAAGCTGCTGAGGGGAGTCAAGGTCTAGTTTTTCCATCTACAAGCTGAAAATGCCTCAGACGGCAATTGTGAACATCCTTCCTCTCTTTATGCTTAAATAACTCAAGGACCTGCACCACTTCTTTCTTATTGTAACCTGGCATCAGGATCCAGACAAAGATGGGAATCATTGTTTTGCAGTACTCAGTCCAGCCTATGGCTATGAGTCCTCAGTGGTGGGAGGTCCATGAACCATGCGTTAAGAGGTCCATGGACTATGTTTAAGAAGTCCATGAAGGGCACATCAGAATAGCAGGCCCATTTTCAGTGTACACACTCCTGGGGGACTACTGGGGAGAACAGTGCTGGCTATGGTAACGTCTCCCTTCTAGATGGCGAATCCTCAGGGATTCAGAGCTGTGTGATTTCTCTTTTCTCTCTGAACTTTTTCACCAAGGTAGAAGGAAATGTTCCAGTGAGCATTTTCAAATTGCTCTAAGGTTACAACGTGCTTTATAAAGGAAGCCAGCATTCTTATTCTTGTTTTACCTGAATGGCAACTGAGGCATAAGAAGCCAGAGGAGGGATGCAGCATCACCAGCTGTCTGATGACAGCAGTGCTTATACTCTCCATACCACTGCAGCATATACAAGGCTGCATTGCCTCTGTGTTTAACAATATCTAACCATGGATCTGAGAAGCTGGTTGCATTCCACATTGCCTTTATAACCACAATAAGACTCTGTAGTGGAAAGATTTTGTCCCAGAGCTAGCTATGTGTAAATATTAATTACTGCAGACATGTTTTTTAAGTCCTCATTACTGTATGAACCAGACGGGCCCGATCCCTCATGCTGGGCACACTGTATGGTTTGGTTCCTCAGGACTTTCATTCTGCAGACTCCTTGTCTTCCATAAGAAAGAAGCCATCTACCACTGAGAGTCTTTCCTCCCTAAATAGTGTAAATAAATAATTCTTGCTGTCATTTTCCTTTTCTGCTTTTCCTAATCCATTTCAGACAGAATCCTTTAGGACCTTCTCTATCTCTAATCAGAAAAATCATTCCAGTTTCTCTCGGGCCTTTGTCATCACTGGGCTATTTGAGCCACTGAGTACATTGTGTTTTTCTTAGCTGGAGGCAGTGTCCTCTTATTTTTTACGCTGTACTCAGAAATTAAGCTGAAGGCACAAGGACTAAAACTAAGCCTAATAGGTACTGGTGTCAAAATGAGCAATGAGCACATTATCAATGAGTTAGGAACAGATCATTAAATATATGGATTCCTTCTTAACATCTTGTTCTGCAGATTTTCTTGTGGACAACTGTCTCTGGTAATGCCAGCAGCCATCTCACTGCACAGTTAGTAGAACAGTCATTTAATATATAACATCAACCTTACAGTGATGCGTGTCTTTTGAGTGCACAGATTTATGCCAGCAAGAAGGAAGACAAAGCCATCTTCCACTCTTAGAAAAAAATCCCCCAACAATAGCTTTTTAATTAAATTACTATTAATAGTAAATAACAAATTCTATTTGTTAATAAATTATTAATAAATTATTATTAAATAATAAGAAATAGTTTTTTTAAACATTATGAAATAATCTCTACTTTAGTCCCAGTCTGTAACTAAACCCTAAATGCTTTCCTAATGCAGAACTCCGGCAGATTCAAAAGAAAAACTTACCTTTAGCTTCTGGCTGACCTCCCCACAGACAAATTTTGGTCTGTTTCTGGAGGAGACCAATTTATAGCTCCCGTGGACCAATTGCTGCAGTGGGAATGCTTTGCCTCATACTGGGAGTTTGCCATTTCCTGCTCTCCCTTGTGCAGAAGGATGTGACACACTGGAAAGTGACCTGCGGGACAACGAGCACACATCATGCTCAGGAAACGATCCCTGCGAATGAACATTGTGTGTTCGCTTTTCCTGAAGTCCGGGGGGGAAAAAAAAAAATTAATCTCAGCCTATTCCTGGCTCTGAGCTAGTGCAGTCATTCCCTCCAGGGAGCAGTTGCCTTTCCTTTCCCTGAAATAGCAACTGACTTTACTCTGCGCTCGAGCCACCAATTACTTGATGACTGAAGCTTCTCCCCTCCCATATCTAGAGCATTAACCAGCCAGCTTCTTCATTCAAGGCCAGTGTACTTTCAAAATCCTGGCTCTTTGGGACAACCGTGCTTGCTATTGGCTGCAAAGCAGCTAGCTGCTTACTAGCTGAAGCAGAGCTCCAGCCCATAAAAGGAAAGCAGCTCCACGGCAAATTGAAGAATCATAGAATTGTAGAATTTCTTGAGTTTGAAGGATCATTGAGTCCAACTCCTGGCTCCATACAGGATCACACAAAAATGAGATCCTATGCCTGAGAGCATTGTCCAGATGGTTCTTGAGCTCTGGCAGCTTGGGGCCATGCCCACTGCCCTCGGCAGCCTGTTCCATGCCCACCACCCTCTGGTGAAGAACTTCTTCCTGATATCCAACCTGACCCTCCCCTGACACAGCTCTATGCTTTTCCCTTGGACTCTGTGGCAAGATGGTTGCTCTGGATTTCCATTCTTACCCCTTCTGAGTAGATAAAACCATGCACAGACCTTCAAAGGGGGTGATCTTCTGGTGGTTTTGCCATTTCTTAACGATGGGCTCTGTTCTTTCCCTACAGTGCCTGCCCAGCAGTTGATGACCAAAAGGAAAGGTCACTTGGATCCCCTCCTCTGCTGCCTGCTGTTGCCTGACAGCTGTGCCTACAAAAGGATGTGGCCTGGATGAAGTGGTCGAAGTGATGGGGATAATGTGACACTCCTGCTCACTGAAGAGGAACTGCGAGCTGCACAGACACTTGGTTGCTGGAGCTGACCTAAGGAATTGATAAGGACTGTGGAGCTGCAGGCAGAGAGAGGAGAATGCTGAGGCTGTTCATTTTTGTGTCACCTTAGTTTTGGAACATCTTAAAATGACTGTGAAACAGTATGCCAAGTGTTTTATCAGGGTGGACTTGCGTGACACTGAGCATTAACTTAAAAAACTGATAGCACTGAAGAGCTACTTCAACCTGCCACAGACTTGGAAAGAGAAAACATTGTTTTGAACATTCTTAAATAAGCAATCTTTGTCAGTTACACTTTGTACGGATTACATGTTAACAGGAAGGTGAATTTTGACACCAAGGGAAATTGTGCTTCAACCTTTCCCTTTGTTTCAGCAAACATATGCTTGAATTGCAGCCCATCAGCTTTGGCGAGGGTTTGCAGCTGACAGATGTGGTATTTCTTTTGTACAAGGAGAACATTTCTCCATAACCCATCCAAATAACAAGATGCATATCCAGAAATTAAAGACTTTCCATGAAGAGCTACAGATAATAATCATAGAATCATGGAACAGTGTGAGTTGGAAGAGACCTTTAAAGGCCACCTGGTCCAACTCCCTTGCAATGAGCAGGGACACCGACAGCTTGATCAGGGTGCTCAAAGCCCTCTGACCTTGGATGTCTCCAGGAACAAGGCATCCACCACCTCTCTGGGCAAACCTGTTCCAGTGCCTCATCACCCTCATCTTCATTATATCCAGCCTAAATCTCCCCTCTTTTAGTTTGAAATCATTTCTCTTCGTCCTGTCACAGCAGTCCATGCTGTGAGGTTTATCCCCTTCTTTCTTACAGTCCCCTTTTAGATACCAAAAGACTGCTAAAATGTCAACTTGATTTTTAAAAATAAATGTTCATTAGAAAAAGAAGCATTATTTCCTAGGGAGCATAATGCAGCATGCTGTGGTCTGGCTTTGTCCCTGCTCACACTCTCACAAGCACCCCTTTGGTGTAAGTAATGCTCTTCTCTCCCACTGATAGTATGGAGACCTTCCCAGCCAGGAGGGGAGACAGACTGGGAGAAGGATCAGAGAGAAGCATCTTCCCTGAGTACCTCCCAGGTAGTTAAAGGCTTTCAGCACTGTTATCCCAGCTGCTCAGATGTGAGGACATCTGCTGAGTCATCAGAAAGGTCCCTGGGGCTGTGAGTGAATCTCAGCTATCAGGGACCTCAAGACTGGTGGGGTACGCCTGACCTCACTGTGCAGTGCTGTCTGTTGTATGTTTTCATCCAAATCCCTCTGCTGTTTTAGTCCCTTCATTCTTGACCCATGAGGAGCTGGGGTTGGAGGGTGGAAGAGGTACAGCTGGTGCATCACAAACAAATGTCCTAGCCAAAAATGGTCCCTCTGCTCCACCCTTTCCCCATCTAGCCACATCCTCTTGAAATGGGCAGAAGCCAGACCCATGCAAAATCTGCCCTGAAGGCATTTTGTGGGAGCAGATGACAATCAAGGGGAAGGAAGGATGTTTTATTGCTTGGGCTTTCTTCCTTCCAGTGAGTTTTGGCAGAAGAGACTGGTCTTTCTGCTCTCATTCTCTCCAGCAGGAGGGATGTAGGGCAGAAGTGTTTATTTTGAAGCTGTTTGGAGCTACTGCAGTGTGACATTTGAAGATAGAGTTTCAAAGATACACTTCCTCTATTAATATTTTTTGATCAAAAGTACATTTACATTCAAACACCACCTTTATGACAGGGGATGTTTTGTCATATTTAGGGTTTTCAGCTTTAGCTGCTGGATCATGGAGTTAAAAACTGTCTTTTATTTTTTGGTGGTAGACTAAGCTGATTACAAATTTTAACTCTTTATGGCAAGCCATTCATACACATTCAGTGAAAACCCAAAATAATCCAAAACTAAAAAATAATGTAAACCAGATCAAAAAGGCTGCACTGGCTTTTAGTAGTCTTACTGGTAGATGGAAATTTGGAACACAGATCTTAGGAGGAGCAGCTGAGGGAAGTGTGGTTGTTCAGTCTGGAGAAGAGGAGCTCAGGGGAGACCTTATTGTGCTCTACCATGACCTCAAGGGAGATTGTGATGAACTGGGGATTGGCCTCTTCTTACTACGAACAATGATGGAATGAGAGATGATGGCCTCAAGTTGTGCCAGAGAGAGTTCAGACTGGATATTGGGAATAATTTATTCTCAGAAAGTGGTGCTGTAGTGGCACAGGCTGCCCAGGGAGGTGGTTCAGTCACCATCCCTATGTGGATGTGGCACTGAGAACATGGTCAGTGGGCATGGTGGGGATGGGCTGACAGTTGGACTAGGCGATCTTACTGGTTTCATACAACCTTAATGATTCTATGATTTTAAGATTCTACAAAATTAATTTTTTTCAAAGCATTCATGAGACAGACTGCTCATGGCTCTGGTCACCTGTGTGGGGGTAATTTCAGCTGAAAGAAAATGTTGGTTTAGGAGAAAGATAGGTCTGGCCAGGGAGGAGGAATGGGACAATACTGTATCACGCCTGTGCATTGACACCTATTTCTGCTCTGTGAACAAGCATTCACTGGTGAGAACACCATCTTAACTTGCCTTGTCAAAACGCTGCCAGAGGTGTCTGCAGAGATCAAATATTGATTAGAACATGGAGAGCAAACTACTGTGATCGACATAAGCAGACCAGCTGACATTGTCAACCACCACCTTTAATTCTATGCTTCACACATGGCACAAGGCGCTCTCTGATGCACAAAAAAACAGCTCCCCGCTGAGTCTCAAGCCTTGCCCGTGGCACAGCTGATGGGTCTGAGTCAGGCTTACTCAGTGTTTCAGCATCAGCCTGAACCCTCAAGCACTGCAGAGAACAGAGAATGATTTCATTCATACTGAATCATTCCAGAGCTGCAAAGAAACCTTGTAGAAATTAGGTAACTTGGCTTCTCACGGCTTTTTTCTTTGTGGACTTCTTGATGGCTCAGCTTGTGCTGCAACACTGACTCCAAGGAAACAAGAGTGTGAATTCCTCTTACCACAGTGATGTCCCTTTGTGAGCTCACAGTGGTGGAGGAGAGCTGCTGGTGCAGGAGCCTTCCGTGACGTCTCTGTTCTGCACACTCCTGTGTTTGAGGGCACTGCTCCCAGGACAGCAGTGTGAAAGGGAAACAAAGGCAGCTCAGTTGTGAGGTGTGGCACCAACAACATCTCTTTAGCAAGAAAGCAAAAGAGCTGAAAAAACTTAGGTATAAATCTCCAAAACTCATCTTAGGAGACTCGGGATAACAGATTCCTGGGTAGATGTAACATTTAGAACTAATAGGACCAAAAAAAAAAAATGATGTGAGTGCATTGATATGTTGTAAGAAAAACAGATTTTACAATCTTTATGAACTCTAGCATTTATTCTTAGATATGCAAAAGGAAAAGATGATGGTTTTAGAATTTTTGCTTTTGTTTAAACTCAATTCATCTCTTGCTTCTTTCACATAAACTAGCTGTTGTGTTGCACATCATCTGCAGCTAGTTGAAGGAGATACCTAATATTCATAACAATAGCCAATTTGTTTTTTGTTTTTTAATAAGACCACTAGTCATCAAATGCAGTTATTGGAGATGGAATGATCTGGATAGATGCAGGCAGCATTGCAAGTCTTCCTGTCAGTTCCATGCCAGTTTTATCAATAATACCAACTTTTGACAATGAATGGTGCTGTCATTTAGCTCTAAAAGAAATATGAATTATAAATTTATAAAATTTTATAAAGGGGAATTGACATGCCCTGAGCTGATCACAATCATCTGTTGCAGTTGTATTTGTTCATCATTAAGTAAGAGATTTGATGCACAGTCCTTAAAGAATCCAGTACTACGTTTGAAGAAGTTGAATTAAGGTTGAGCAGTTCTCACTGTGATGAAAGACCCAATTCTGAATTCCTCTGAATTTTTCAGGTCTCTTAATGTTTTACAATTTTTTTAACAAACACTGGCAATACCTGGTTGCTGATGTTGTTTTGATTAACTTCATATTGTTAAAGTCTTACTACCAGCATTAAGATTAAGCAAGAACTGTTCCATCTAAAAAATGCATTGCGATGAAAACAAAATAATGAAATTTATGACACTGATTAAATCCAGAATTAATTTGTTCCAGTCTTGCTCCTTTATCAGGAGCTCCCTTGCTTTCTACCAGAGAAAATAAAAGTATTATTTTTATCTGTGACAAGGCAACCTGACTGATCTAGCATTTGTACTGCCTGCCCTGAGTGGACAAGATGCTTTTCCAGCCCTTGCTCATAAAGGCAGGATATTGTTTACGTAACTTCAGCTATCAGAAATGTATCTCTAAGCTCTCTCCACGGGCACTGGAAAAAGGCAGGAACCTGCAGAATTTAAACCACTTATTATAGAGCAGGTCCCTGAAAGGGACGGGCTGAACCTGTGGGGATGGCTATTTTTCCTTGCTCTAGTGAGAGTTTCAGCAAGTGAATAAGTGGGGTGGGTGCAAATCCCTGAAGATTGCTGAAACTGGATGAGATGCATTTTCAACTGAATACTGAGGAAATGTTTTTTAACTCCCTTTGAGCTTCTTTAGGCCGTTGTGTGCCTACCACATTTCTGTGGCATCAGCTGGAAGATCAGTGTATGGGAATTGGTGAATCATGGCCTGAACCTCTGACTGACCACCTGAAGCAAGCAATGAGTCAGCCACAGGAGCATAGGTGAAGGCAATTCACCTGTGCTACTGGAAGGGGTGGAGCCTGGCTCCACCTCTTCTAGATTCCACTTAAGAGCTGACTGCCACTGAGAAGGGATTTCTTCCTGGAGATTGCTCCTTGTGGAGTTCATTGTGAGCCTACAACATTGGTATGTATTATTTGTTTATTATCTTTTCAGCATGATAATCCTGCTTAGCCTAACCTCTGTACACTTATTGATTGTATAATCAGATAGTGGTACAGGCATCTCTGGATCTCTCTCCCACCCTATTCACTGTCCCCTAGGCTTGTGAGGTTTATGTTCCAATTTCAAATATTCCATCCCACAGAGATGAGTCTGGGCAAGAGATGGCCTATGGTAACTGTCAGGACTGGGAACAATAATCAGAGATGTTCTCTCCTATTGTCAGTATGCTTAGAGTGAGGGACAAAGCAAAATACTTAATTGGAGAAGGCCAGATGTTTTTTTATACCTTTCTTAGCACTATCATTAAGGCATAAACTGATGCAAAGACTTCAGAAATCATTACATATATTCCCCAGAATGTCCTGGTACTCTCTTCAAGGAACTGACAGTATATTTCAAGCCAAGGATCAAGTCTACTAATGGGTCACCTATCAAGAGCATCTCACCACTCCCATAAGGGCTGCCCAGGTTTCCATGAAAGGGGAAGATGACTTGCTATGGAGCCAGGATGCAATGCGACTGGCACTTGGCACTTCTCTCAGGCTCCTGATTCGGATGTGTGCTGTGCACTCTGCTACCCAATCTCCCTGAAACAGTTTAAAGTGAGAATGAAGATGGTCAGCAGCTCTTGACTCGAGTGGGTTTGTCCTGTTTCCTAACATCCTCCTGATCAGATCATGGAAGGGAGGAAAGGAAACCTGAGGGGGAATGTATTTCCGTGCATCCGCAGATACACCCAAAAACATGAGCAGAAGCCATAAAGACAGAGCATGATTGAATGACCTCATAGTGTGCAAACATGCAGTTTTAAAAAAATGCTTACTAAAAACAGCATCATCCAGAGAAGCACAAAAGCTTAGAAGGTGAGGAGAAATTTCTTCTTAGAAAGAGCAGTGCTGCAGTGGCACAGGCTGCCCAGGGAGGAGGTAGAGTCACCATCCCTGGAGGTGTTCCAGAACTGTGTGGATGGCACTGAGGATGTGGTCAGTGGGCATGGTGGGGATGGGCTGGAGGTTGGACTAGGTGATTGTAACAGTTCTGTGATTCCATGAGTCTCTCTACTAGTATTTGATCACAGCATTTTGAACAACCAAATAGTTCCCCTTGCTACTTGCTTGGATAAGCCAGTTGAGTCATCCAGACTCATAAGACAACCTTGTGACCCTCACTCAAGTCAATTCAGAGGAACAAATGGAAGTTATCTCCTTCCTTACTTTAAAGGAAGATGCTGATATGGTAGGCTTTTTGGAAACCTTAAGCTGGCAGAAAGAAACTCAAAGGAACAGCTGGGAGTATTAAGTTTTCACAGGTGGGTGGAGATGGCTGAAGTGACTGATCATGCTGGGGAGGCAATGGCAGAGTTGCCACTAACACAGAAAGGCTTGAAAAGGGGAAAGAAGATACCGGCACTGATAACAGCAGGGTGGGCTGAGGATAAGGGAATATCATTCAAAAAGCTGCATGTGTGTCTGCACTAAAAAATACAATATAAACTCTAGTGGATAAAATATAACTGAGCCATCTCAGAAAGGATCAGATGAGTCACTAGTTAAAAAATCAAAGCTATTACTAAATCCTCCATCTGTCATAGCAACAGCAAAAGCCCTGCCTGAGAACCTGTCAGGTCACAGGGCTACAGCTGTGGCTGTGCCAGCTCCAGCCACACCAGTGGAGCTGTAACAAGGCTCAGCACACCCTCCTGGATAAATACAGCTTTTTCAATCAATCAGGCATAGTTTCTGCATTCGAAGGCAGGTCCTGCCTTGTAAACATCATGGAGGTGGCTTTTTTTTTTTTTTTTACTGGGGTCATCCAGTATGTGGAGAAGTGTGACCTGGTCGATGTGATCTGCTTGAGTTTCCAAGGCCTTTTTACAAAGCCTCTCTGAAAGCAGGAAGATAAAAGGGAAAATCAAGCATGGATAAATATGAGATCAAAGACTGGAGAGGGGAAAAAAAAAAAAAGCATAGGACTAAATAGGAAAAGGTCAATGTTGACGCCTGCAGGAGTCTGCACTAGGATCTGGGCTACAGAACACGGCTGCTAAATGACCTGGAAAAAGAGGTGAACAGTGAGATGATGGGCTCTGCAGGCAACACAGCTAACTAAAATGCTGGTATAGTTGTATATTTAGAGAAGGTTTTTATCAGTGAATACTAGCAGACATGCAATGTGAACCTAAGGCCTCATTCAAGCTCAGAATTTGGGAATAAGTTAACACAAGAGGCATGAGAGCTGCATTTAGGAGGGCAGAGTCACTGTTCCACCCTTTGCTACTGCTTGGAGCAAGGATGCTTTTGCTCAGAGCATCTCCACCTCCAAAAGCCCCAGAAATTTCCAGCCTGGGGCTGCACACTCTGACAATGCAATAGTGGAGGAGGTTTTAGGAAAGGTTCCCTTCTGTAACTCCTAAACATCACTCATGAAGTTACTGCTGCAACATCTTTGCTGAGCTCAGTGTTAGGAGGGGAGGTGTATCCAGCTGTTGGGATGCCTTTTACATTCATTTTCTGGCTCTACTGTGCCTTGCCAGCTGCTGAGATGGAGCACTTGCAACCCTCTATCCCTGCTTTGAGGAGGGCTGATGAGAATTAAGAACATTTGCAAATGGCCTCATTTGCATAGCAGCCAGATATTGGTAACCCCTGAGGTGACTAAAGCAACAGTATCCTACTGGATGATGGAAACAAGGGCTGTGCGGGCTGCATTGGTTTCTGTGCAGGTTTCTTCAGGTTAGAGATGAGATGCAGGAACAAGTCTGGCAGCAGAATCACAAAGCCATGCAGGAAAGTGCACACTGGAATGTTTTTAGTTAATAATCCAGTGCTGCAGCCCAGACCTGTTTTGTCTCTCGTGATGTCCTTCCCACTGCAATAAGACAGCCCAGCCCTGCTCCCAGCCACAGAACCATGCTGGGAAGCAGCAATATGAGGGTGGCACCTTCCTACTTAGCAGGTTCCTCCCTTCCTAAACGGACTTGTAACCACTCACTTTAATGATCAATCAAAGTTTATATTTGGTCTTATTAATTGCTCCATCTTTTTCCTCTTTAGAGACCAGATGCTGCTGGCTACACTGGAAAATCTTGTTTGTTTCTTTAAGGGGTGCAGATTGCTGTACAGAAGTAATAACTGGG